CAGAGAGTAATCCATAGAAAAATCCAACACCAGTCATGGCTGTCATGATCCAGTGGTGTTTAAAAAGTTGGATGTTGGGTTCGATTCTCAATCACTGTGCGTTGGTGGCACAGTGGTTAGGACTCTCACCAACCATGCACATGGTCCGGGGTTCGATCCCCTGCCGACGCACACCCGATATCTATGGTCGGCCTGTAAAATTTGGGCTACCGATATCCATGCTGAAAATGCAATACTTGTACTGAAAATACGGTGTGGCATCAAGCTGTAATCAAAAATAAAAAAATAAAAAAATAAATATCTCCAGCTGAGAAGTCTCATATACAGAGGAACAAGTAGCCTGGATTTCATAATTAGCCACCATCAATTAAGTGACACAGTAGTAACCTAAAGGTGTCGTTGAAGCATTCGTGTGAGGAACCAAAATTTCAACAGGAGCCAAGTCTTTCGCTTCAGTAGACTCAATCAGCTGGTAATTCAAATAGCAATCTTAATAAATAATATATTGTTTTGTCTGACACTTGAAAAGAAACTTCATTGAAATGGAACAAACAAAGTGAGTGACAAGAATACAAAGAAAACAGTACTTCTATCCTTAGTTCGTGTGAACTCAACGTATGCTTAACTTTATTACTATTTTTAACGCGCTATCTGAACCTTTATTCTGGTTTTTATTTAAAAAACAATAAAATTACAAGCACTTCGTCTGTCTTTTTTGTTTTACTTTCTAACGAATGACCCTGAAGAAAAAATTGCAAGTATACGATTCACCTTTCAACTATTTTGACGGCTCATCAGATTAACGTCAGAAAAACTAAACTCCTTGAGAATTCTTGAGTGCAATTAAAAATAGATTTTTCCTTTCTTTAAAAAACACTCTTATATTGTTTCGCATAAACTGTGGTGTTAATTCAAGGTCAGACAATGTTTTATTTTGAATGAGATATTTTTATTTCAGTGAGTGGAATGTATGTAGACAACTTGAAACTTTCAATAATCAGCCTTCTTCTTTATTCTACAACAGAGAAAAGAATACGCAAAAACAATCTCTCGGTACAATGAGATAGTCACTTTTTCTTCATATACAATAAACATAGGTGAAAGAGTGTTTTATTGCTGTGAAATGATTTGTATTAATTGATTTATTAGATAAAACCACAATGTCTAGAAATATGCTTGGTGAAATCAGCAAAGCAAATAATGTAAATATTAAATACAGAGTAGATTTTATCATAGATGTATGTAAGCTAAAAATAAGTGCTTAGACATGCAGTGATCACTGAAGCACTTTTTTATTCCATACTAAGACTGCTGTGCAATGTTCACTTTACACTCCTGTCAGAAGTGCACTTATTGAACTATGGAACAAGTTACACCTTTTATCTTATTCAATCCTCCTCGAATACTTCAGTGAGCATGTCTGATTGGAGTTCTGTGTGGAGGCATTATAAATATTTCAGGGTTCATCAACTTCATAAAAATTACAGGTAGATATTATGTGCGTCGGTAGCACAGTGGTTAGGACTCTCGCCGACCATGCACATGGTCCGGGGTTCGATCCCCTGCCGAAGCACACCCGATATCAATGGTCGGCCTGTAAAATTTGGGCTACCGATATCCATGCTGAAAATTCCATACTTGTACTGAAAATACGGTGTGGCATGAAGCTGTAATCAAAAATAAAATAATAATAATAAACCACGAAAACAATGTAAGCGGTTAATGGCTACTGATTAAATCATTTGGACTGATGTCTGATCTCAAAATAAGCACGTTACGATTTGACCACTGTGTGAGAATCTGAAAGCTCCTGAGTTCTACATCTTCCAGCTAACTGTCATAATACAGCTAATCGTTAATGTACAAGAAATCAAGCTTCAACTGTCAGGATTGTAGAGACTAGTATCAGGTTAAAGCGGACTTCATGGTTTTATGCATTAGATCCCCAGAAGCTGAAAATGATAGGTCAACGGATTCTAGTAGAACCTATGAATAGTAATGTGTCATCTAATGATCTTGAGTTTACCTTCATGAGAGATCGTTGCAGCACGCTGCTCTACAGACAAAATTATAAACTGTAGTCAATGCAACCAAAGCCTGCTTAAATCTCTGAGTTATCTAATTTTTCTATCCACCAAGATGCATCACATTTTTACTGGATTTCATATTGTTTTAATCATCCAGTTAAAACCGTGAATCGCAACAAACAATAAAGCATATTTTCAAATAGGTTTCAATCTAGTTCTAGGAATTTTTATGAAGGAAATGGTGGGAATCCATTGTGGAGGTTTGAAGCATGCTTTGAATGGAACAACATATGTCTTCAAATGATGTGTTATCGATCATCATACTACCTGGAAACCTTGCAAAAAGGGTAAATGCCATCTCAATAAAACATGCTGAAGATTTTGTATCATGTTCTCGCACACTTTTCAGAAGAAAGTCATTATTACTGTTATCACCACTGTAACTATTGTCATATGGAGATTATTTGATGACAAGATAATTACTCCTTGCATAGAAACTTCGGGTAAAAATAATGGCGGACAATATGCCACTTAATATCATTCTTTTTAAGCACACTATAATACTCCATGACGTCGTTTTATCTTCTAAAGTTTGGTTTGTAAGGGTTAGTTATTTTTTTTACGAGTTGATCACGGATTGTTATCAGTTAGAGAACCATTGAAAACCAGGGAGTACTGGGGAGCTGCTGTTTCATCCTAGTTTGGGAATCATCGACAGTGCGCACCCACTGGGATTCGAACCCAGGACCTTCCGGTTACAAGGTAAGTTCGTATACCATTCAGCCTCTGGGACCCGATTCAATGGCTCATGAATTCTAACTTCTACCAATTCGTGATTAAACGCCACCACATAATCGTATATAAGGTGTTTAAAAATGCACGTGACTACACAAAGGTAGAGTCGAATAGTTAGTGTAATGTGTAATGGATGAAACCTAATAAATTATATTTGATGGCGAAGCAGGTAATTCAGAGATACGATACCTATTGTTGAAGACATTTGCCTTTGGCTCACACATATACACAAAGCCAACCGCTAAAATATACATATTACTTTATACTACTAATTAGTAGCTGAAAAGTCACCAACAAATTTTGGTGCTAGGACTACAGTTTTTTCCACGTTCCAATTATTTTCAATTTTTATTCACTACCTGGTATACATTAGGATTTGTTAATAAGTTATTTCAGACCGTCATTCGATGTTAATGGGAGCTATATTAATTATTGTAATGAAACACCAATGACACTGACACATCTCCAAATTGAGAATATGAAGTTCAATTGCTTCCAAAGCATCAAAATTTCATATATTTATTCCCCTTAATGAATCTGACTAAAGCAAGAGCAACAGTTTTTGCTGAATAAAGTGGTACCATCATTCATTTCGTTAGCTTCTCATCAGCTGCTTACAGGCCAAAGTCATTATTAAGTATGTCTACAGAAACAATTCTAACATACTTGCAAAGAGTTCTTTTTCAAACAAAAATCAATCAATCAATATATGCATAAAGTAATTACATATATATATGTAAAATTAAACACTATTCCGAACAATAATGATCATACACAATGGAAACTTTCAACATTACGTAATCAGATGAAAGAGAGGTGAAAATATCCAGTTACCAGGGCAAAGAAAGACTGATAACTGCTGCTTTCTGAACGCATAAATCGGGTTTCGCGCGCCTGATGGAGATTACTTCAGCAAAATTGTGGAGAATTGAACTCTTTCGCCTACTGATAATTTTGAACAATCTTGTGACGTCCACTTCATGACCCGTGTCGAGGAGATGCCTGGCGATAGCACTGTTTAAAGCATTTATTCCCTTTAGACGTAGGCTTTTTGGTACATTTTCAGAAAATCATAGATATACCCTTCATTTTGTTCTTCCAGTGTAATTGCTTCGGCAGATACATGAGTTAACATGTAAACTCCAACTGTATAAAAAAATTTACATCAATCTGTTTCATTAAAATAATTAATATAGCCCCCATTAACATCGAATGACGGTCTGAAATAACTTATTAACAAATCCTAATATATACCAGATAGTGAATAAAATTTAAAGTAGTTGGAACGTGGCCAAAATGGAGGTTTTACACGCATGCTTAAATTTTGTAAAATATTCACAATTCGTGAATGTGACTGCTGTGGTGTTGTTTGTCTCAGCTGAGGCTGGTATTGATTATATATATTCTAGAATGACAGTGAAAACATCAAAATCTAACTTCTATCAATTATTAAGGTAGTGCCAACTCTAGCCAATCCTACTAATGAACAATCATTCTACACTCCATATACTGGTCCCCATTTGCCATGATTATATATTTAGACTTCAGACCAGATGCCCTGTTGTTACCAAGGAGAAGAGAAGCTGTATTTTTATTTTCACGTTTGCAATGACTTAATAATTTCAGCACAGGTTTCAGTGATTCAGTCACTTTCTAACAGATGACGAAATCAGTGCTCAAATTGTTCAAAATCCCTACAAACACAAAATGTCTGAACTTATTTTGTCTGTTGGATTTAAGATAATTGAGCAAAGGTCATAGGAGACAATATTTAATTCAGCTGGCAGCACTTACTGAAATACCTGTCAACTTTTTATGCCTTTCAGCATAGCTAGCGAGAATTCCAAGGTTATAGATATGCGATATTCTAATGTATTCCTTATTCAGGAATACCTCTAAGACGAAGTTACTAACTAGTGAATTTTTAGGCCTCATTACTAACATCTAATACTTTCAAGATGAGGTTAATTAGATCATTGCAGAGGAAAAACTCACAAGGGACAGTTACGAATGCTTATAATTGAAATATCCGAACCAAGTGATTCTGTTGCGGAAAACGTACACATGAACATCTTACTTTTCTTGTTTTTCAACAGAATAACTTATCTCTAAATACTGAATGGCATATATATGCTTCGTTCTATGACGGAAACTGTTTACCTGATATGGATTTATACAATGTTGTTGCTATATGAAGTCAACTCCTATCAGTCACAAGATATCGACGATGACTATGTGGAATTAACACAATTAATAAATAATGAGAATCAAATTCGTCTACGATGTGATGCAAAAAGTCAAGATTCAATTGAAAGTTTAATTCTGCTTAGCTGCCCGTTGAGTAAAACTGGAGTATGCAGAGAAAACTGTATAAATCCATGTCCAGTGAATGAATGTGAGTTTCGTTTTTGAGTATTTTAAATAATTTTCTCTACAACTATTAGTAATTTTAAATTAAATTAAAGGGCTACCTAATTCACACTGCCTAAGAATTTATACGGTTTCATAACTAACAGTAAAAAGAAGTTCGGTTAGCTGATGGTTAGGTGTTAGATGGTGTGAAGTGATCAAAAGAACACCATTCCTTTGGCTTTCGCTGCAATAAGAACTCGTCAGCCCTACATTCCTGAAACCTTAATAGAGCTTCATTCAAAATTGCGATTCGATTCTGTAATTAAATTTGTAATCATTAAGCTATACAGACTATGAGACGCCCCTTGTAAGACTGAATTGAAAAGATGAATTTGAATCTTAATATATAATCATTATGTCTAATTTTTAATAACAGTTAAAATATTTTCCGAATTTTTCCGGCAGGAAGCCTTGGACCTGCGATTGCTTCCAACCATCTAATAAAAACATTTATAAAAGGTTGAGAAAATGGTAACTAGTCATGGCTGGTGGAATCCATCAAGTCAGATGAGATGGTAGTTGCTCACCAATGAAATTAGCTATCTGCGGTACCATGTTAACATAAGTTTGAATTCATGACTAGCTGAATCCGAAGGTACTGGCTTCGATATCTGGTGGATGAGCAGTGTTAAAAATTCCCAGAGTGGGATGAAACAGGCAGTCAGTACCTTCTCTAACTAATGTTGGCTAGATATAAATATATTGTGTCCTTTAAACTTTATGTTAGCAAAAATACTGACTCAAAGATATTACAAGCTATAGTGCAATTCAATGAAAATGAAACATGCGGAACTTAGAAATCATCTCAAGTTCAGTGGGACAGGCTTGATTGCAACATTCAGTTAATCTGATTCACGCATTTGCATGAACTTCGGTTCTCTTTTGGTTGACAATGAGCCTATCTGTATAATCTGAATAACTTCTTAATAAAAGGAATATGCTGGTGCTGTACTTCGGCAGTGTACTCCTTTGAACGTTTTAATATCTTAATAGCATGTGACTCAATAAGACTTGGTTATACAAATATTGTAGAAGTCACCATTGGCAAGTTAGTCTCTACAAGTAATTTAAGCAGCAGGTATCAACATTCTTACTGGTTCTAGAAGTTTATTGTGCTTATATGAAATCCAAGATCTATTTAGCTTGTGCTTTTATTGCAGTGCATTTTCTAAGAATAATTAGACGGTATTCAAATTAAATAAAACCTCAGATTGTGTTTGTTGACTTCCAGAGTTCTTCCTCACCCTTGTGTTGGTATTCTTTTGTTCTTCTCACATTGTAAAAAAAAGCATCTGCAATCTGCAATGAAGCAGTGACACTTGCTATTCCTAAATGCATTTATCGATCTATGTCAAACAATCATATTCAAATAGAATATGTGATACAGTTGAACGCTATCAATGAGAAAGGAATGTGGTGGTGTACATTTCGTGGGAAACGTTCTAATTCTGTTGAATTGGACTCACACACTCCTGAAGAAAGAAAAACAGTGGCTACAAGCAGTGGAAATATCTATTCGAATAATCTGGAAATAAATAACAAATATGAAAATACAGTGGATGGCATCACTTACTTTGGTAAGTATTCATTCACCTGTTTATCTGTTAACTAGACCATTTCATATTATCTTCAATCGTGCATTCCTTAACGTGCCCTACTGTATACGCATTGTACTAGAAGGAAACAATCTCTAACAGTTTAAACTAAACCGATTCAGTCATGAAGGTAGCTGACAAATAGTTTTACTGTCTAGAATAACTCAGGTGTTACTACAATGACCGCATAACTTAAGTCATCCTAATAAGAATTCTGTATATATTTATAACTTATTTCACTAGTAGTCTGTTAAAACTGTGTTCTCCAGTGATCAATATTTCTCATTCTCAGAACACTTTGATATAGTATGGAATGAATACCAGGTGAGTGTGCCTGTAATAAAATATCATGAATATCAGCAGCATTTGACATATTTCATCCATTCCAGCTCGTGCGAATAATTCCTGCCCTCCACATCCAGTTTTTGTCGATTCTCTGTTGGCTTTCCATACTTGTTTTTTATCCAAAATATTGGCAGGTTGAATATTACTCCTTGTTACTTCCAAGCAGAACTAATAATATACCAAAGATATTCTTATGGTTAGCTTCCATCTCAACAGTACACTTGGTTGTGTGGAACTTTTACTATTTGTTCCACCAGAAACTGCTTATATACCATCAACAAGTAAATAAAAGTTTGCTAAATACGTCTAGAACCATAGGTCAATTAGGTAGGTGGCTTTATTCTACTAAAAGTAAGCAATCGTAGCTCCAAAATGTCAAGCTGGCCTTGTCTGAATGGCTGAATGGGACTCATCAAACTGAATGAACTTATATATTGCAGTAAAAATTTTAAGAGCAACCATAAAGAAACTAGATGTACAACAGGAGTCACAACAATGACTACGTGTGAAAATATGGCCATCTACTTTATTGTTTATGTTCGGCAGTAATGTTAAACACAGAAAATTCCAACGGATGTCACTTCGCAGATGAATTCTGAAAATAAATCCTGTTATTTAAGACAGCTAGTATTCTCTAACACGTCTCTACCACTAGCAATTCTGAAGCTAAACAATTCAGACCCTGGAAGAAGCAAGAGATGTGTAAATTCAAGTAAACTAGTTTGAAGGATTGTCAGTTTTAGGACTTCATCAACCAGAAGGTTATTGGAGGCCAAACATAGCTGAAAAGATATTTTGTTCCTATCTAGGGTTTCAGTAATTTACACCAGGATGTAGCTCAGGATTACCACTATTGTACAGCTATTCTAATGCCTGTTAACTCCCAGTTCAACTGTACTAAGATGAACAGCTTTCAATCAGGAGTCAGCAAATGGTCTTCGTCTAATGGTCTTAAACTAAGTCCTTCCAAATGTCAGACTGTTAATTTCAGTTTTAGATGTAAGAGAAAGTTAAATGAAGCTGTTAATTCCTGTGACCATTACAAAATTGATGATAATAATATAGAAATCAAGTCTGATATTAAGTATCTTGGATTAACTCCTTCTTCTGACCTATCCTGGTCTTCTCTTGTCTTAGCGACATCTCAAAGAATATTTCGTCTGACGTTTTACGTTAAGAAGTTAAGGCACTCGGGCATAACTCAGCACCTCCTCTTACAGTTTGTCAACTCGTACACCTTACCTATGCTTCTTTATTGTTCACCCTTATTCCTTCCTGGATTACTTAAAAAAGACTGTGTCATACTTCGTGGAACTGTGAAGACTGTCAGTAGGGCGAGTGGTATTCCATTGGGCTATATCTTTGACATCGTCAATGATAGCCACTTGAATTCATGCAGCAAATTTGCTAAAGGAGCTTTGTCACACTGCGAGCATCCACTTTACCGGCAGCTTTCACTTTGTGTTTCCTCAGGGAAAACAAGAAGTCTTTTCAGAAGACTTTATTCACGTACGTCTAAGTATAGAAATTCCACTGTACCATATTTGTCACGTATTTTATGTGATGAAAATAGTGTCAGGGTAGAACTAACTAACCTTCTTTCCACTGCTAAATAAACCATTTTGTCCATCCTTATTCCACCAAGCTTTATTTTTATTGTTTTTCTTATATTTATGATCCTCTCAATTTTTTTTGTTTTTGTTTATTTTCTCACAAGTGTAAACGTCATCTAAGCTGTGTTATAATTGTTAATTTTGTATTTCCACTCACTGTACTATATCAACAGAACATTATTGATATAAGTGTAAGAACATTAGATTCAATAATCTATAACATGCTAAAATTTCCAAAATGAATCGAGAGCACTGTTTGAAACAAACCCACTGTTATTATTATTTTTTTTTCTCATTTTGTACTTCGAATACTTTTGACTTTAAACGTGGACAAATTCCTCTGGTTAATTTTGTTTTAATTTGACTCATGTTTTGAGTAAATCAGATGCAATATTGTGACAAACGCTCAGAATTCCATTCTGTATTATAAGTTCTGTTTTTGGAATAAAGTGGATTAGTATTATTATTATTCAAAAAGTAGTTTTTCCTACTTTGTTAATAAATCAGAATTCAGTGGTGTATAAAGTCTTTAGGTTCTTTCAGTTTAATAACACTGGATGTGTTTCGGATTGCTATAAATCGGTAAGTTCTAACTTTAATGCATCTGCTCTCCCCTCCGCTTCCCCGAAATACAACAAAACAGATCATTAAAAGTTATCAGAAGACGCTAAAACCCATGAAGAATCGTAAATTAGGATGAAATATCAACCCAGTAGCTTTCAGTTTTCACTAATTCTTCACGTTGTTTGGATTTGATTGATTTAACAGTGAGTGTAAAACTTTACACACAAAATGCACCATTTCAAGTTGCCATACTTATTAAAAGCACACAAAATAAATGTAACGAAACTGCGGTGGAAGAAAATGTAAGGAAGAGAGAGACGGAGTGAAAGAGGTTGCATGTTCTAGGTTGAAAGACTTTTAGTATCTAGTACACAAAATGAATGTATACTTTGGGTACTGAGAACATTTTGGAGTCTTTTCAGAAGTAGTCCCAAACCATTCACTATAAACATCTTGGTGACCTCAGCCACACACTCTGTACATCCCCTCGGGTGGTCAAATTAACGGTCAGTCATTTCATGGATCGGTGGTTTTATCTAAGGACTCCTGATTCCTTTCCAATCCAGTCCTACTTTAGTCAACATTGTTCGTCTAGGAAGGCGATGGAGTGACCTGAGTATGACATGTCCAAATCATCTGAATAATTACATTTCTGAAAAAAAATCCTATCTGATACCCTGTGCTTATGCAAACGTACCTATCCATCTAATGTGTGTAATTGAACCCCTAATCTTTAAGCGATTATGTTGCATAGTATAAAAGTAGGATAAAGAAAATGGTTGCGTGTCACAGTACCTTGAAAAAAGTAAAAGCTTCGTAGATCTATCATCTAAATAATCCATTCGGTTTTTTTGTCTTTTTTCTTTGTGGCAGATATCTCACCCAACTTAATACAACTAATCATTGGACTCGTTGGTGTTTCGGTTGCATTCAATATTTTCTTTTTCATTCGATGTTATGCTGTGAACAACTATTTGAGTAAGTTGATGATAAACCTTTTGCTTTGTGTTAATAGTTTGAGGTAAAAATGCCCATTGATTGCAATTAGATGAATCAAGGATTTTTAAGAAATCTTAAAATTTGATCGGCGGATCGTACGAGACTATTCATGATATAGTGGGTGATGACTGAAGGTGAAATGAAAATCTAAGTAGTGGCAAGATTCGAACCGGCGGTGATTGCTGTGTAATGATGATTTCGCTGGGAGTTGAGACTCTTAGCTTAACTGGCAGGGGGCCAGACTAGTAATTAGGAGGCCACTGGTTCGTAGGCCACTGCAATCTAGATTTTAATTTCCCTGTGTATCACCACCCGGTAGACCGACTTAAAAAATGCTGAATGTTGCTGAGGTGCACCGCTGATTCATCGACAGAATGCTCGCACACCACGCGCGTAACCGGGGTTCTCCGCCCCCCATCTGCTGACGCTTTCCTCTGCCTCGTTTAGCTGGTATTAAGCACGGTAAGGAGGAAAGGTTGGGAGTAAGACTGGCAACCCCACCCTGTAAAAAACGAATAAAACCACTGCTACTGAAACCTCAAGGATTAAAATTTGAAGCCCTATATTCCGCTTGGAACTCAGAGGAATAAAAAAGTGTTACTGAGACATTCAGTCAGTTTACATCACAGAATACTGATTATAACTCAGAAGCTATTAAATCGAAATAGCCTTCACAATTAGCAAATTAATTTGCAATTAACTCAGTTTGAGGAGGTGAAACATCACTACAGATTCCTTGAAAAACCAAATTATTCAGATCACAGGATGTGACCTGCTTGATACCATCACTGGTAATTAAGAAAACAAGGAAATTTGAGTCAATCTATATACAACTGATTGGTGTGGTTGAGTAGTTGTACACCACTCACAGCAGCCATTAGTGTTTACTAGCCAGATTTGGGTGATCTAAACAACGGACGACCATTTCACTTATTTGGGGTCGGTTTAATCACATAGTGTACCGGGTTTGACTCAGATCAGAGAGCCGAATATGTTCAGACTACTTGACCTGGTTGGTATTAGTCTGTTGTATATGGTTTTAGGCAAGCTATAAAATCTATTTGATCATGACATTTGATCATGATTTATTCCCAAACCTCAGGTCAAAAGCATATGGAGAAATGAGGTGATCTTCAGCGTTCTAAGGTCAGCTCTTATTGTTTCGAGTCCACCCCCGCGGTAATGCTTAGGATATGATGAAACAGTCTAATTTTTAGAAATCCTTCAAGTGGTGTCATCTATTAATCGTGAAGCCAGACGAAGGTGACTTTAAAAAACAGAGCATCGTATTCAGGTCTCGTCGGCACGGTGTGCCTGCCTCCTCAGTGAGAGGTGGTGTTCCCACTGAGACTAGCACACTGCAGTCATCTTTTCAAATGCTTAATAGGGCGAAATGCATATCCTGGATTCACTGCCAGTCGTCATCAACCGAAATGACGTCATTGTTTATCTTCAGATATCTTTGAAGTGTTTGTGCTAGAAGCTGAGATGTCAACAGAGACCGAGCTTGTCGGTCCAGTATAATCAGTCAATCAATGGCAAATGCAAATTCACCTAAAAGCAAGTAATGATTGGCCTCATAATAAACTATGGAAATAATATTAAAATATGCAGTCTTAATACAGGATGATAATGATGTTAAAGACAAACGTTAGATCACAAATAAAGCTGATGTTCAGAGTTATCCGGTATCACAGGGAAAGAAAACAATTCTAGGTTGTGCATGAAGGCTGTGGGATGGGGAGTGACTGGATGAACTTTTCTTCGACACATAGACAGAGTGACAATGTTTTACCCTGATTGCCTTGCTTATGCTTAGTGACCGAAGGCGTACACACCTAGAGAACTGAGTTGGCACCTTTCCTAACCACATTGGTAAATGCTTAAGAAGACGATAGTGGACACGTATCTTAGAAAGAGATATAGAAATAGTAAGACTATTGGGCAATTAGAATACTACGTGTCAACTTGGGAATTTCGATGGCAGGGATGGTTGAGATATTACTGAAAACTATTCACAGCGAAAATAATCATACCAGTTGAAATAATAACGGATAAATAAACAGATTGATTAAACAGAATGAAAAATGATTAAGGCCAAGGCACAAATGTGGACTATAATAATTTGATGCAGACGGATTAAGACCATCAGAAGATGAGTGCCTTGACAAACGTTCTCTGCACACACACAGCTCAGGCTCTTCTCTTTCGATGGCTGAAGCTTTAGTAACACAGATGGGTCGCATAAGTAACGTTTTCGGAAGATTATTTTTCGTCTAATAGATAAAGGAAGAGATCGTAGAGATAAAGTAACCAATGTCCACCAGCTGTTCAATTATTCTGCTATTTATAGCTCCAATTCCACTTCTTTGTAACCTCACTGAGTAGTGTTTTATTTGCCTAGTAATCTTATTAATTTTACACCTCCAAGATTTACACATTCCATGATCTATTTCAAAATTTCCACAATGCAATAGGTGTCCCAGAGATGAGCTAAATTTATTGACAATGTATGCTTTTCCATGTAAACTTGGAACAATTAACAAAAGTTTTTGTACAAGTCTGTAGTTAGTTCATAAATGTCAGTAGGACTAGCTGTCTGTGTACTGTACACATATTATATAAACTTCAGTATATTGAACACAAACCTACACCTACACAATAATAAATATACTAACAGACAAAGACGCGGAATAGCCGAAATTAACCCAGTATGAATCATTTAAACTAAACTAACAGCCAAACTAAAAGGCTGTATTGAAAGTCAAAAGGAAGATCAACAAAAGCGAAACAATGTTGCATATTAAAACATTAATTCTGATTTTCGAAACAGAATTTACCAAGATGGGTTCCATGTGAATTCACAAAGGTGGATTAAACATCCTAATTTATAAGGCTTCCAAAAACATTAGGATGTGACCACAACAGGTAATAAAGATGGGTTTTGAAGATACCTACTTTATGATTTGTTAAAATAATGCGTCTGGTGATAAGGAGCTGGGTTACCTATTTCTACCATGAAGTGATTGCACGGACCAACATGTACTAGTATTGCAACGGTAAAAGACAAGAGACTTGGTAACGGGATGTTTATTTGAAATATGATAACTTTATATTGAGAAACCATGTACACCTTACCCGGAAATCGTAGTTTGCAGAGATCTTCCATGTTGTGTTACTTCTGCCCTTCGTATTGTGTTTGTTTGTCTTCTTTTCATGTCTCTCATTTTTCGCCACAACTCTGGTTCATTTTCTCTCATCAACGTCAAATCTATCTCTCCGCTATTTGTTATTATTGAAAATTGGTTTTTTTTTCTAAATAGTCTTCACAATTCAAGCAATTTGTGTTAGTGTCAGTCGATCTGTATTTTTAAATATCCAAATCATAGATTGTCCTGGAATGTCGTCGGACAGTTTGAGTACCCAGTCTAATTAAAGTATTTGTAAAATGTCTAAAATAACTCAGCATATTTATAAAACCAAAATAGAGTTTTCCTGGATGTTTCTTTGTGTAATACACAACTCCTTCAGCAGAATTACTCAGATTTCGCTAAAAATCGAAATATGCAGTCGTAGGCCATAGCGGCGGCATAGCGGTTAGGACGCTCGCCGACAATGCACATGGTCCAGGGTTCTATCCCCGGCCGACGCACTCCTTTACCTCGCTAAGCCAGAAATAATGCTGATGAAGAGGAAAGGTTGGACATGAGGCTAGCAACCCCATCCTGCAAAATAAATAAATACTGCTACAGAAACTTCAAGCCTCTAGTTTGAAGCCCTACGTTCCACTGGGGAACGTGAAGGAAAAAGAAGGGTAGAAAATGAAAAAAGCCCTGGTGAACTCAGGACATTTTGAAACAGTTAGTCCCTTTAATAATTCTAAATAAGGCATTAAAAAGATAAGTGCTCAGCGATGATATCATATCATAGTTTCTTTACAATCTCTGTACAATAACGAAAATGTTTAACAAGTATTCAGTAATGCAAAATAAAAGTACATACTAATAACCAATCATATTTTAGTTGGTCAAGTAGTCCATGTTAGGCGAAGGTTGAAATCTGGTGTTTTTTGTACACAGTTTGGGATGCGTGTAGCTAATCCAGAGTGCTTCTATCGCCTTTAATAACCTTGAAATAATTGAGAAGCAGTCATTAATATTGATTTTGTCACCTGACATTAATAAATGCTTGATAAATAAATGATGGATTTCTGTTTGTATTAAGTACATGCGAGTTTTTAATATGACGTAATGACCATTTAGGAAGGTGTTCTTTCCGACTACACTGGTACATTCTGTTGGCTCTATCTCTATATATGTCATCGCAACTGCAGGTAAACTTGTAGATACAGTATGAAATAGAATCCACAGAATTTTGTCCTTTAGTTATAGGTCTGGTAATCGAAAATGTTTGACATATTAGTAAAAGAGATGTGACGTAGAATGTACTTTTAATACCTGACCGAAGCCTCTGAGCTATTAGTTACATGATTTGATCACGTTTGAGGGGTAGTTTAATAAAGATAGCTTTCTTTGGTACTAAAGATCTCTATTCAAGGAACAGTTTCTCTTTACTGTGGTATACGATGAAGTTTTCAGGATAACCAGTAGTCGATAAAACTGAATGTATATGCCATAGCTCATTCATCAGCGTCTTGCTCATGCAAATTTTATGGGCCCTTGAAAACAGGCATTTCACTGGGGGACATGTACACATTTTGCAGATGAATAATGATTCATATTGACTAAACGTGATTTTTTTATTCCTTCACGTTCCCCAGTGGAACATAGGGCTTCAAGCTAGTGGCTTGAAGTTTCTGTAGCAGTGTTTATTTTACAGGATGGGGTTGCTAGCCTCATGTCCAACCTTTTCTCTTCACTAGCATTATTTCTGGCTTAGCGAGGTAAAGGAGTGCGTCGGCCGGGGATCGAACTCCGGACGATGTGCATTGTCGGCGAGCGTCCTAACCGCTGTGCCACCGACGCACTGACTAAACTTGATTGCTCATGGTATATTCTTGTTATTTTTTGTCAACCTGCTACCTTCACACAGTCAGACAAGACCATGTTCTCATTAGATATGACTTCTCCCTATATTTCCGTCTTATGAAGCATACTTTGACATATATATGTACATTTATCTGATGTTTTCTGAAGTCCTTTACAGTTTTTTTATTCAAAGATGGAAGCTTTATGCCTATTTAATATATACTCACGTAAACATTCATCATTCTACTGCTTCCTTCTACACAGCAAGCTCCACATTTTGTATCGTATAAACACAATTGTTACGTGGTATCGAATGGAAAATAATTTTTAAATCAAAGTGCACTGGACAGCTATTTTGTCCCAGTTTGGGACTCTTCATCAGTAAGCGTTCTTGGCTTTTTTCTGTTACTGATTAGTGACGAAATCTACAATGAAGTAATTCTGTCAACTTGGTGCAATTGTGCTTACCCAATTAGATGCGGAAAATTTATCAAACCAAATATAAATTCATACTGTTTAGCTGTAGTATTTAGTTCAACATCAGTATTCGAAATTTATTATTAACATATAAATCTTGTTTAATTTCTTCTTTTAAAGAGAATCTTTATATTGGTCATCCAAGAAATAATTGTCTAGATCAGTTTTTGTGTATTGACCAACCGAGGAAACCAAAGCCAACAAAACAGAAAACAAGACTGAATTATCTTCAAACTATGAGTCCACCGGAAACACCTAAACTCCCAGCGGTTAAACAGTCGTCCATAACTGCAAAAACTAATAACAGCAATACACAACAGTATGCATCACACGATGTCCTGCCTATGATGAACATGCTACACAATAAACCTTCACCTTTAGTTTATCATACATCAAAATCTATCCCACCATCACCTGTTATATATCCTTCATCACAAACACAGTATACAAAAGATCCGTACACACAACATCAATATTATCCTAAGAATCCATTTCATACACCAACTGTTAACCATAAAGCACCATCATTGGAATTCATCTATGATGAAGTTCATAATTCGGTGTATACAACTTTGAATAGTCCGACAAATGACCAAGAGAAAATTAAGCAAAATACGGTAAAACAAAAGAAGAAAACTTTTCGTTCTGACGATTTTTTATCATTTAGATCTATGAGTAATGAATATTAGGAAATGGACGAAATATTCTCATATTGAGTCATAAGAAAAAGGCACAAACAGCGAAGAAAATTTTCTTTTCGACGATTCATTTTCATGAGCTGTACAATCGTAATTATAATTAACAAAGAAATCTTTAGACCAATCAGATACTGATAAATTTTGTCCTTGGAAAATTGTATTACATAATGTAAGGTGTAAGAAGGGATGACTAATTGTAAGTTAGAAAGGAGACAGAAGTTGGTATGACGTAATAAGTGTGAGACAGTGAATAATCAGTAATCTCGTGTATAATGGACAGGAACTAGTGGAAAGGCTATAAAGTAATATTGTATAAAAATGTATGAAAAGCATTGTTATTAATAAACAGTAATAGAGTGGTAATAAAATGTGGATGATGGGAACAATATTGATAATAAAAGTATTAATAAAATAAAATAATAATAAATAATAATCGCCATAAAGCAGTCGGCTAGGAGTGGACCGAGAAGAGACGCCATGGCTACCCCATCTTTCTGTACATAGAACTTTTCATTGAATTTGAACTGGATATTGAACGTACATCTGAGAAGTTCCTTCAGGTAGTTTATTGGGAGAGGAACTTCTAGGTTGTTAGTTTCGATGTAATTACAAATGAAGCATATTTTTTCAGTTAGGGGGATGCTTGTGAATAGAGAGGCGACATCTAGTGAGATCATTTGTCTTTCAGACACGTTGACATCATTCACTGAGTCGATGAAGTCAAATGTATCTCTGAGGCTATATTTTGTCATATGTCTTTTAACCGGTTCGAGGATATCAGCTAGCCACTTCGCGATTTGATGATATGGTGAGTTAAGCATGTCTATGACAGGTCGAAGTGGGACATTCTCCTTATGCATCTTAGGCATTACGTAATTCAATTTTCCAAGGACAAAATTTATCAGTATCTGATTGGTCTAAAGATTTCTTTGTTAATTATAATTACGATTGTACAGCTCATGAAAATGAATCGTCGAAAAGAAAATTTTCTTCGCTGTTTGTGCCTTTTTCTTATGACTCAATATTAGGAAAATAAAGTTCATCTCGTGTTTAGTTATCACTAAGCAATGGCCAGCTGAATAGTTACTTGCTCATCTCTAAATGTAAATGTTCTGGATTCGATTTCTGGTGCAGTGATAGATATACTGTTGAAGAGTTTCAAAGGGGAATAAAAGAGCTACATAGTACTCTTTTTTCAACGGTTTTCTAAGTGTTGCATGTTTATGACAAAATCTATGTTGAAATTAATCAGATACCTATGAGTCAGATTTCAGCTACTGCTCATTAGGGACTCACTGAGAGATGGACTTTCTGAATTTCTAATTTGAAGCATAACCAATGAGATCCACCAATTCAGGTATGGGGACACTCGACGACGATACTATGTCATGAGTCCGTAGAAGTTAGATTTCATAGGCTATTGGTTTTGGAACCAGTTGTTGGATGATTAATGTGTTCTTTACGCAGCAGAAATGTTCTGTGTTTTTTTTCTCCGGTCGGATAGTGGGTGAGTACTTCTGAAGATGTAAACAGATTTACAGCGCTCCATGGGTTTCAAAATTTCTGTGAGTGATGTTAGTTTGTGACAAAACCTACACTGAAATCAGTCAAACCCGTAGAATCCAACACTTGCGACAAATTTCATTGTTAAAATGAAAAAAGTTATAAAATGAACAATTAAGTACTAGATCCAACTAAAGTAAATTCCACGTGGTACTTACAGTAACTAATTCGTCAACGTTATATAATGACGTCGAGGTAGTTAGGAATCAGAAGTCGATTGGCTGCATCAGTACCTACTGATATTGTTCAAAACTGCGATGAAACAGTTACCTGTCACAGCTGGTTTTCAAAGATTCTCAGTTCACAGGGAAATCTACCTTTAAAACTTGAATAAACTGTCGCTGTCTTAGTTCATAATATCCGCTAGTAATACTAGGGAAAACAGGAGGCTGATAATCTTAAGGAGTTATGCTTTTTAATGAAATCCATAAACTCATTTCGAACACTTAGGTTAAACATATACTTATTATATGAATTTACACGAAGGGTGAAAGAGTTAAATAATTCAGTTAGAAGGCGTAATCGAAGATTGAGATAACTACGAAAGTTCATGAAGTACAAGACGTATTTTAGTAGTACATTGATTTTGGTTTCAAAGCCAGTGTTATGAGGAGAGGCTTCATATATATTGACCATTTTTGTATAAGAATAAAGCAATTCCAAAATCAGGTACTCATTAAGTTTCAAACTGAATCAGACTTGTGACTTACACTGTGTCTAGGTTTAAACTGGTCTTTAAAGAAATGGGCCTACTGAAAACTCTGATTCAACTCTATGTGTTATTTAAGCCCTAATGTTAGAGTAACGTTTCTTTATTCCATGTCTATTGGACATTCGATTTCAGTTAAGTAAGTATTGTAAAATGAACATCTTTCACACTTTTTAATATTTCACAGAAACAGAATGACAACTCAGTTGGGACAGTTTTTAATGGGAGTCATTGGCTTGTGGATCCCTCCGGTCAAATCTACGTTCCATATGCACAAATTACACCGAAACCTCGAAGAGTCTTACTAAGCAATGTTGAATACTCTACTCTGAGGAAAAGTGATGTGATAACAAACCCTTTACTATTGAATCCTACATTTGAAACATTGAAAGAAAGAAATCATACCTTTGGCCATCAAACCATTTCAGATACTCGTCACTTGCCTTTAATTCCAATACAAACGCAAAATGTTAATTATCATATTAATGGTAACATGTCAACTTTTCCTAATTTCCCTTCTGTTCAAAGTAATGCAGTTTCAATTAGTCAGCATAATCTTATTCAGAAGACACCAGTGGAAATTTCTGAATTGCCTGATGACAATAACAATACTGAAGAAAATGTATGTTATTCACTTGAGAGATTTATAAGAGATGGACTAATTTTACAGTAATTTTGGTCACAGTGGTTAGGACTCTCACCGACCATGCACATGATCCGGGGTTCGATCCCCTGCTGGTGCACACCTGATATCTATGGTCGGCCTGCTAAATTTGGGCTACCGATATCACATGCTGAAAATTTCATACTTATACCAAAATACTGTGTAGAATCAAGCTATGATAAAATAAAATAAAAAAAATAAAAAGTTTAGGAAATCACTGGAAACCAAGAGGTCACAACTGGTGATACCATAAAAGTACACATTGATGACACTTTAGTTTCAAGAACGCAGCCGTTGTGTAGCTCTTGGTTTTAAGGATCTACTGGCTTATGTCCATTTATCACAAAATGTTTAGTGAAAAATGTACACATAGTGGCATTATTTACCTAATATGCACCGATTAATACCTCGGGAATTCATTGATGGAAAAGTGTGCCCCTTATCCTTCAGCTATTTATTTCTGCCTAGTTCTGCAGGTAAAACTTTCCTTCAGGATATCAAAATATCTTCTTGGATGAAGCAGAAATATTATGAGATAATAAAATGGTCATCAGTTTCAGTGATATGTCTAATTTGTTTATCTGAGATTACTACTAAGTAATTAAGTCCAGTTGATAGCTTTTATGCCATTTTATTTTTGTTTTATTCATATTAGATGCTGATCAATAGAGTCATCTACCGTTTTCCTAAGTTTTTTGGGGCGAACAGGCAAACATGCTGGTCATGGTAGCAAACCACAGCGCGTTCGAATTTATAAATATACACTTACTGGGATTTTTAAACTACAATGAAATAGCTACCCAGTAAACTTAGTAATGAAAACTACTTAAGAACCAATCCAATTTGAGTAAAGATTTATCTTAATATCAGTAAAACTAATTAGGAATTTCATTCGGTTTCACTAAGTCTTGTTATAACAATACTCCACAGTACAGTAACAGGTTGTAAACTTTTATCAGCAGCTACCTTCGCTCCATATCGAAGACCCAGTGGCTAGAAAGAGTTATCAACAAGAAACTATGAAGACATACTAAACAAGCACCTATTGCTCAACAAATATGTGGGAGAAAATAGAGATGGATTGGGCACACACCGAGGAGACCGTTGAATGACGTCACGCGCCAAGGCGTAGCTCGAGTGGAGCCCGAGTGGAAAACGGCGGGTGAGGTGTCTGAGGGTAACATGGAGGAGACCGTGTGAGGAGGAAATAATGGACTATGAGGAGTCCTGGAGCCAGTTAAAGGGGACCACAGAGAATCGGACAAAGTGGAGATGTGCTGTCAAAGCCATATGTTCCGCTAGGAATGCAAGGGAACAATCGTACTAATACAGTACAGGGCTACAGTTATAATGTTGAAGTGGGTGATACTCTCGACTAATAAATGAGAAAAAGTAATTTACCCGTCCAATAATTTTAGAAGTTCTCTGGTTAGTCAGTTCCAGCCAATGTTTGGCTTACTGATCTGCATATTAATGAGACGTCTTACCAGAAAATAACGTCCCATATGCTTCGGTGATTGATATGACAGTGGAGCTTTCAAACTTCGTTAAGCTACTGCCACCGAAATCCTTATGGTTTTCCAACACAACACCTCTCATTTATTTGTGTAATAATGAGTAGTTTCCCAGTGTCTAAAGTGTGTGAAAGACAGCTTAAAATAGTTAATTATCTCAATAAAGTAAGAAGGGTAAATTTTGCCGCTCAAAATGGTATATAATTCACCCATAGAAATCCAGTACTTCCATTATAGATAAAACTTTATTTTGATAGAATCACACAATGTTATACAGTAATATTTACTGATGATGTTTCGAGCACAATTTATCCATAATGGAATTGTACTCTCTATTACAGTGGCCAAGTTTTATCCTTATACTAATAAATCCAGTACTTGTAATTTATATAACATCTTTTCATTATTTTCCAGACTAATGAACAGTCAACTACTAGTCAGTCAGTGATGAAGAGTGTACAATTGTCAAATAGACAAAGTATTTTTGACAATTTTGAACCACAAGATGATCATCAGCTAGTGAATAAACTAACCAATCATAATTATCAAAGTGGCATACAAAATTCCGACCAAGAAATAAATAATACCTCAGATTCAACTATGCCAAAATATTCAATTAAACTACTTGCACGTAAAACAAGTCAACCGAAAATAGACAATACACTGAATAATCACAACGGGAGTACAGCTGAGAATTGTACCTTGTCTGGAGCTCATAAGATAGCTGATCTAGAAGACTGGGCTATGATTGATCAAGATTAGTCTAAAAAAATCAAGTTTATTGGAGAGTGTGACTTGTGCTGCTGTTCTGTTTTCCTCTTCTTTCCTTACTTAGAAATTACTCAAAACTGTGTCTTACAGCTTACAACAAAATTGTATTACTGAATTATTAAATCATGTTTATCAAATAGTGCTCATTACAGTCTTTTCACAAGCCTTATTCAAACAGTATTCTAGTCGTTTGCATTTGTATCCCAAGTTAGATTATGAATTATTTATGAGCTAACATCATTTAGGGGGCCACTGAAAACCAGGGAGCACTGGACACCTGTATCGTCTCATTTCAAGACTCTTCAGCAATACGCACTCATGACGTATTCGGGGATTAAATCCATGATCTCTGGGTTTAGAGGCGAGACCACTAATCATTTAGAACTTAATGTCTCTTAAATTCTGACTTCTGCTAACTTTCAGCAGTTGCATTACTGGAGAAAAAGAACATGTGAGGTTAAACTGTCGTTGATAGGTCTATATTTGATAAAAGGATTAAATTCAGTGTATTAAAGCAATTAATTGTTGGTTGACTCATTGGTCAAGACTGAAAATTCTACCGTACACTTCTAATTCATCAATGAGCTTATATTTTCACGTATTGGTTTTGTAGGGGTTTTGTTTGATTGGATGGCAGAAGTTAGAATTCATGGGCCATTGGATCGGGTCCCAGTGGCTTAATGGCCTACGACTTCACCTTGTAGCCAGAAGGTCCTGGGTTCGAACCATGGCTGTGGGTGCGCACTGACGAAGAGTCCCAGACTAGGACGAAACAGCTGCCAAGTACTGCCAGGTTTTCTAGTGGTTCTGTAACTGATGTCAGCTCACGATGAAATCCTCCATCCAATAAGCTTATATCAGTGAATAAGAAGGGAATATGATTCGTGATTAGAGTACTTTACACAAAATAAAGAAATCTCTGAAATACAGCGGATATGCATACTAATGGTAATAAAGTATGACTTATAGAAGTATATACTGTTTTAATATAAACAGTGCAAATAACAACTCGAGTTAAGTGTTAATAATAATCTACTTTATTCTAAAAACAGTACTTATAATACAGGATGGCATTCTCAGCATTTGTCACAATATTGCATCTGATTTACTCAAAATATGAGTAGAATTAAAACAAATTAACCAGAGGAATTTGTTTACGATATAAAGTCAAAAATATTCGAAGTACAAGATGAGAATAATAAATATAATAATAATAACAATAAGAGTTTGTTTCAAACAGTGCTTTCAATTCAATTTGGAAATTTTAGCATGTTATTGATTATTGAAACTGATGTTCTGTTGATATAGTATGGTGATGGGAAAGACAAAAAATAACAGTTATTACACAGCTTAAAAGATGCTTACACTTATAAGAAAATAAACAAGAATTAAAAAAAATGAGAGGATTATGAATATAAGAACAACCATAACAGTAAAGCTAGTTGGAGTAAGGATGGACAAAATGGTTTATTTGCTAGTGCAAAGAAGGTTAGTTAATTCGACCCTAACACTATTTTCATCACATAAAATACGTGACAAATATGGCACAGTGGAATTTCTATACTTAGACGTACGTGAATGAAGCCTTCTGAAAAGACTTCTTGTTTTACCTGAGGAGACACAAGGTGAAAACTGCGGGTAAAGTGGATGCTCACAGTATGACAAAATTCCTTTAGCAAATTTGTTGCATGAAATCAAGTGAATATCATTGACGATGTCAAAGATATGGCCCAATGGAATACCACACGCCCTACTGACAGTCTTCAGAGTCCTACGAAATACGACATAGTCTCTTTTAAGCATTTCAGGAAAGAATAAGGGTGAACAATAAAGAAGCATAGGTAAGATGCTCGAGTTGACAAACTATAAGAGGAGGTGCTGAGTTATGCCCGAGTGCCTTAACTTCTTAATGTAAAACGTCAGACGAAATATTCTTTGAGATATCGCGAAGGCAAGAGAAGACCAGGATAGGTCAGAAGAAAGAGTTAATCCAAGATACTTAATATCAGACTTGATTTCTATATTATTATCATCAATTTTGCAATGGTCACAGGAATTAACAGCTTCATTTAACTTTCTCTTACATCGGAAACTTCAGTTAACTGTCTGGCATTTGGAAGGATTTAGTTTAAGGTCATTAGACGGAGACCATTTGCTGACTCGTGATAGAAAGCTGTTCATCTTAGTACATTCGAACTAGGAGTTAACAGACACTGAAATGGTTAGATCGTCTGCATACTTTACAAAGTTCACTTCATTAGAGTGAGACAAGTTAAGTGACTGACTGAAGTGAATCGTTTAGGTAGTGCGGAAATCTAACGACTTTTCACAAACTTTGAATACATGAAACGATGATCTATTTACCATCTGTTATGTGGTCACACAAAGGTCAGCAATGAACTGAGTGGTTTTCACCGTGACGTGTGAGTCTATATTTACACATCATAAACATGATTTTACTGAGTAATCTTTTTTATTGCCATCACTATTTTAAGTGTAAAACACATAGGGATTTCACTGATTTAAAGGTAGATTTTGCCAAAAACCGACCTTATTTAAAGGACTAATAACTAATAACCAGAAAGTAATGGATAGCTATTCCATTTTTTGTTTATCACTTTCAACGAGACACCAGTCGTCGTTAATCAGGAGCTGAACCAAGCACGATTAAGTAGTGAGGAAAGCGCACTATTATTCAGACTATGGGTTTTACGGTCTGTGACTGGATGATTAAATGCAAAATATCTATTTTACGCACTGGAGTGTAACAGTTAATTGTGAAACACGATCTGGTCGCCTTAAATAAAGATATCCCATGTACAGAACTAAACACTGACTAATTCACAGAATAATAATAATAATAATAATAATGGAGAACAACTTATTTAAGCGAATATTGAAAGCAAAGATGAGTATTTGTCATAATTTCATTTTCATTTTCTGATTAAAAATAAACCTATCAATTAAAGGCTCGATTGCGTGGAGAATTTCATCATGAGCTGACATGAGTTAGAGAACCACTGGAAAACCTGGGAGTACTGGACAGCTGTTTCGTCCTAGTTGGGGACTCCTCCATGCAATCAAACAAAATCCATACAAAACCAATACTCGAAAATTAAAGGTTCATGAATAATTCTCATCCAGACATTAATGAAAAGAACCAAACAGGGAAATCAAAAAACAGGCTCTTTTCGGCGAATTCATCTTCTTTAAATGTACATTCACATTTTTTCATGAAAGAGGATGGTAACAAAAGTTACGAGTTTTCATAATCATAGTTGTTAATATTAGTCAATACATAAGAGTATTTGAATGAGCGAATTGGAGTTATGTAATAGGATGAATAATCCAATCTTATTACGTATCTCTAATACACTTAATCAAGTCCTCTTATTGCACTGACAAATATCAACATCTATGCCTCTGACGACTTACTTTTATTACTTCTGTCTTTCGTGAAAAATTTGTGCATAAATACGATTCTGCAGCTAAAGAAACCGAATTCGGCAAAAACAGTCTGTGTTGCTAAACTACCTGTTTTGTTCAGTTAAAAGTTATCAAAGCGTTTTGCAAGACAGAGTACACTCTGGTCAATAAAAGTAATTATTTAAATAATTAGGTTAACTCCAAAGAAAAGAACAAGGCTTTGTTCTATGCAGTTACTTACTTACTTACTTGACTACAGATATTCCGTCCAAGACAGTTTAGAGGTATATCCTTTGAAATATGTAAGAAAACCTGATATTAGTTCTCTTCAAACACACACCTCTACCGACCAAAAAATCCATGAAATTCAAATGAAACTAGGTTGACATTTCGTTTTAGTTAGAGAATTCTAACGTCGTTGGTCAATGAACTCGTAGGTGACTATCAGATTGTGAAGAAGGGTTTTTACTAATGTTCCTTTTGTTTAGGATTAACTATTTCATGCCTTCAAAATCATTCCAATTCTGACACCCAACCTCATTAAAGTCAACTGTTATCACTTCACGTCACAACTATATGACTGGTAATTCCGTTTAGATAAGTTGATTTGATATAAATAATGCAAAATGGACTCACACAAAAAACTTGGAGGATCTAGACTTCGCCGATGATATATGTCTGATTTCCCACAAACTGGAAGATATGCAAGCGAAAAGCAACAAGTTGGCAGAAGAAGCATCAAAGATAGGACTTAAGGTGAACATAGAGAGAACAGATGTGGTGATGAAGATTCCTGGACAAGAACAACAACAACAGACAACGATCAGCATAAATGGGAGGAACCTGAAAGAAACAACCTCCTTTACCTACCTACCTGGAAAGCATCGTTTCAACTACAGGCAGACGGAACTGACGAAGATATCAAAGTAAGAATCGGAAAAGCAAGACAAGCTTTCACTACTCTCAAGTCTGTGTGGAGGTCAACAGCACTCAGCATCAAAAATAAGATCCGGATTTTCAACTCCAATGTGAAGTCAGCCAGTGCTACTATATGGGTCAGAGACTTGGCCAGCGCGTCATAAAGAGCATCTCAAACAAACTACAGACCTTCATTAACAGTTGTCTTCGCTCAATACCGCTCAAGATCAGATGGCCGGCCAGATAAGATCAGCAATAGAGATCTCTGGCAATGAGCGAACCAACACAGCAGGAACCGATTGTGAAACAAATAGGCAGGAAGAAATGGAGATGGATTGGCCATACTCTCAGGAAACAAACCATCAAGTTACATCACTAGACAAGCCATCGCTCGAGTGGAACCCGAAAGGGAAGCGGCGAGTTGGTCGTCAGTGCAAGGGTGACTTGGAGGAGGTCATGTGAAGAGGAGATGAAAACGTGTGGGCCGAATTGGAGCCAGGTGAAGACTCTGGCAGAGAACCGAACTCAATGGAGACGCACGGCTGAAGCCCTATGTTGCTCTAGGAATTAAAGGAAACAATAATAATGCATATTTGATTTATATAAATGTAAATATTTGGTGTGCGTCGGTGGTTGAGAGGTAGAAC